CTTCGTCAAATTCAAAGAAAAATTAGTCATTCTTTCATCAATTCTTATTGGTCAACTATAACCACCAATGAACTTATGACATTTGAAAACAAATAATGTATAATGACAATGTGAGATGGTCCGTTACGTAAACTTTTGGTTTTTTTTTTTTTTTTTTTTTTGTCTCATTATGCTATATGTTTTCTTATTATTTTGTGTCCTGTGTCAAAATTTTATTGGTAGTTATAGCTGACAAGTAACAATTGATGATGAAATGATTAATTTTCCATTGAATTTGACAAAATTGATTATGCAATCTAACAACAAGGGGTTAATTGACTGATTTTAAATAGTTCATGGGGTTAATTTACCAAAAAAATAGTTTAGGGGTTCAATTTCAACGGGGTGATAGCTCAGGGGGTCAAACCGTAATTTACCCTTTCATCAATGGCGGAGAAGAAGCTCCTCTAATGCGCTCAACAGTTAATACGATCTTTGGTATAGGAAGAACCAAATTATTGTTTTATTAAAATTTTACATATTGTTAAATACACCTCACATAACTTTTTATCTTTTATTTGAACAAATGATATTTACACTAAGAGAAAGAGATGGGCTTAGCCTCACAACGGATTAGCAATTATGTGGTTTAAATTCGTCTTTGGCGAGAATCAAACCTAAGACCTCTCACTTATAAGTAAAGAAAAATACCACTAGACCATAATACTAAAGGCACCCCACATAAAAATTAATATTTAATAACTTGTATGCTTTGGTATGAAATGACTATTTAGATCATATAAGGATTTTTAAAATTTGATTTCATGACATGCTAAACTGAATATCCTAGAATTGTTTTGATCGAATGCAACTTAATAGAAGGAGGTGGGGTGTTAAAATGACAGAAATAACTCTGAACACAAGTCATAATCAAGGCACATGATTTATTTTGGATGGAAAACTTAACGGAATTAGAATGAGATAACAAATTGATAATTTTGAAAAGTTGGTATTACAAATTGCTTAAAATTTTAGTTTATATGACAAATTGAAAAATGGGTACAAGTTCATATGACATTTCAAAAATTTTCCCTTAAAAAATAAAATAAAATCTGAATACATCCCAAAATTATTTTCTGCATGTATCCTAATATTACTACTCTTCAGCCTTTGGTATGCGATACAAGTATTAGCAGCTGCAGAAGTGAGAATCTTGCTTTTATGTTTGTGGGCTGTGGTGTGAGAGCATGCAAATTCTAAATAGACTCGGTAATTCCATTATAAATTCCATATATAATTCTATATATGGTTTGCTAATTCAAGTTCTTTTTTTTTATTAGCCTGATGGCTTTGCTAATTTATTCATGGTCAGTGTGTTCAACATCTTGTATATAGATTCAGTCATTTGAATCTGTTAAAAAAAAAAAATGATCTGAAACTTTACAATGGCGTCAACAATAAGAAAAAAAATGACAAAATCCAATCATTCACTTTCAGTTTGTAGACTTTGCAGTGTCTAACCATAACCTATAACTTCATTTCCTTTCAAGCTCGTCTGGTTTTATGCGAGGAACGATGTTCATATTCTCTGCAATTTTTTTTTTTGAAAAAGACTGTTTGGATCCAAATTTACACATTCAGTCCGTGCAATTAAGGGTGTTAAGTAAGCATAGCTCCACACCGTCACATGAAAAAATGAAGATAATTTTATTATTGTTAAATAATAATATTATGATTTATTTATTTATTTATCATAATGATGAATTATCGTGATATTTTCTTGTGCAAGATAGGTGAGATGCAAATTATATCTCTGACTTGAAAACGAGCAATGTAGTTCAATTTGATTTTGGATTCTTGGCATTTAGACGTGTGGTGGATTGGAGCATCAGAGAATTATATCAAGAGTCCTAATACATTGGCAAAAAGATTAATGCATGCATAAAAGATGAAGATGCCAAATATTCTGGTGATGTGGTCACAATGGCATTTGGGATCAGTCAAAGACCAACAAATTTGCCATGCACGAGGATTATCACTAGCAATGGATGATTACGTGGCGGCCTTTAACTTTGCATGCGGCAAGTAAAGATGAGTTTTTCCATCCTCGCCAGATCTTTTTCTTGAGGATCGTAGGATTCCATGATCATGATCATTTATCATATATTATGCGATCAGTTTTCGTTAGTTACTATTTATATTTAATTTTAAATTTTAAATTTTAAAATAATTTCTAATCGTACGATATACGATAAACGGTCACGATTACGAAATCCTTAAGATTCTCAAGAAAATGATTCGGCGAAAATCCTTTTCCAATGTGGAGGTGATGATAATGATTATCCATGGTTCATGCATGTGACTGACGAGTGATGAAGGGAAAATTATCCTAATGCAATTGCACGCATAGGATAATTTGCAAGGGACAAGTGACGATTATTCTACATGGAGAAATATTCCAAGAATCATGTCCTGCGGCTACAACTTGAGAGTGAGGCAGCTCATTCTTATAAATACAAGGCCGTGTGCAATGTAAAAGGTCCATCCAAATCAACACACAAAACTGCATTGCACAAACTCTTGCTCTACAGGAAATCTTTCAAAGACCTTGAAATTTTTATTTTCTTTTTTCCCGCCAATACATCTTCAGTTTAAATATCCTTGAGATTTTTATTTTCTTTTTTCCCCTCAACACATCTTCAGTTTGGATAAACATGCACCTTAAATCAATTTGAAATTTTAACTCCTAGAACTTAAAAGAATTAGTAATTAACCAAATTACAATAAATTACAAACACACACAACCAAATGTTTCCTCACATAATAAGGGGTATTTTAGCACTACAAAATTATATAATCTGAGTCTTAAAGCAAATTTAATGAATATTTTTTGGTTAAAACCCGGCCAACGGGTTTAAGTCAGGAATAAAATATATGATGGGTTAAAGTCAAAGAGAAGAGTTTGAAGGGGTAAATCTAAATTTTAAGGGGTCAGTTAGTGATACAAACAAGCTTACGACTAAGAAAACTAAAAAGACTTAACACTCCATTAAAAACACACTACCGCAAAGACAATTGTTGGAAGCATGCGTACGATCAATGTACAAACATGCGCACGATCAAAGTTTATTACTTTTTTTTTTAGGAAATTTTAACAAAAAAAATTTCCGGTACTATTTATTTTAACGAAAAATTACATTTTTACACAAAAAAATCAATCTTGGTACTATTCATTTTTCCCTTTATTATGTCCTTATCGTTAAAACTCAAAATTTTCAAATCATTTTCATTAGGTTTTTTTTTTTTTTTCCTGAAAGTGGACCCATTTGTTTGATTAGTTGTCTCATTTCAGTTGACTTGTATTTGATTAATCAGTAATAGTTGATAGTGCTGTATTTGATTAATCACTAATATGTATTTGTCTCGATTCGGTTGCTATTGTTGTGTTTGTTTGTACTGTATTAGAAGATTGTAACATCAATTTGCATTTCTAGGATTATTTATGATGGAAGGTAGTTCACAAACTCATTTTAGTGTTACGCCTTTCATCACTTCCAGTCGAAATCCTACAGAGACTTCCATATCGACTCATGAAACACCACAACTGGTAAAACCAGAGCCAACAATTGCACTCCCCACTTCCTTTCTCCACGTTGGCAAATAAGAAACTTGTCAAGGAAGCATCCCTTGTTTGGTTATATTTTATCAAATCGACAGTTAAAACTGGAAAGGAGATAGCTAAATGCAAGGGCTCATTTACCTTAATATTGCATGTTCACCGAGACTGTAATCATTGTATAGGCAAGTTATTTGCCTTTTTTTTAGGCGGACTAACATTAGTTTGTAGCCTAAATTAGTACAACTATAATATGGTTAATTTGTCTACATTTTCATGTAACACAACAATTTATCTAACACTAATAGGTAAATTAGTATCATACAATTTTGTAGAAGTTTTATTTGAAAATTTCACCCACCATTGCCTAGACCTGTAAACTTGGGTTTGGGTTGAGGTTCACCCGACCCATTAAGTTAACGGGTCATTCGAACCCAATTCATTAAGTTAACGGATTATCCAAACCTAAATAGTTAAGTTCATTGATCACCCGTTTCATCCGTTTCACCCGTTAACCCCCATTAACAATTTTTTTTTGTTTTTTTTTTGTCAATTCAAATTATGCATTTTAATGTACAAACAAGATCTCACATTCAGATTTCATTTACAATAGTTGGCAGTGCATTTTTGTCCATCCCCTTCAAAAATCCAACACGCAATGCCAATATGCAAAACCAATGGAATCAATCCATTTTGACAGTCACCTCCATTATCCATCCTTTTCGCCGTTTGAGTTTGAGGGCTTCCTACTATGACTATTGAAATTACACAAAAGCCCTTAATAACAAGTGTTAACGGATGCTAACTGGTTTCGCGGGTTGACCCAAAATGATCCGTTATTTAACGGGTTGACTCGTTAACAACCCGACCCATTAAATAGTCACCCGAATACTAATTTTAACAGGTCGGGTTTAAAATGCCAGGTATCAATTTGGAATTTTAATTCTTAGGAATTTAAAACCAACAATCATTAATTAACCAAATTGCAATAAATTAAAAACAAATACAACCAAATGTTTCATCACATAATAAGGGGCATTATGTAATCTGAGTCATAAAATAAATTTAATGAATTTTTTTTGGTTAAAACCCAGCCAACGGTTTAGGTCAGGACTCAATATATGATGAGTTAAAGTCAAAGAGTTTTAAGGGGAATCTAAATTAAGGGTTTAGTTGGTGATACTAACACTCCACTAAAAACACACTTACCACAAAAGCCAAAATTGTTGGAAGCATGCGTACAATATACAGATATGCGTACGATCAAAGTTGTTGGAAAGCTGAGAAGGGTCAAGTGGCCAGAATAGCCAGGGATGAATTGACACGTTTCATTCTGTCGGAATCTTTAGGCACTGTCTGAAACAAGATTTGAGGGGCACATATTCCTGAACCGACCTTTGAGCCAATGGGAAAGCGTGTACATCCTCAGTGCGAGATCTCCTACAATGCCACGAAGAGTAAAGAAAAATTGAAAGCAGCGGCATATAAATATAGGCGGTGCAAGTCCCCGGAAAAACAGTCCGGCCTCCGACCTTGGCCGCGTACTACTTAGTTATCTGCTCTCTAATTCATTATCTTTAGGTATCTGTCATTTTTTTTGATAAAATTTGGGCCCTAATCATGGTTTCAGCTAAAAATGTTGTTTTAGCTGAAAAGTAGTCAAATGTTCATCAGTGCTTGTGTTCCTGTCTTGTAGCTTCGGATTCAAAAAATTTCTTTTTCTGGGTTTCGTCCAGGATTGAAGAATTTCTGCAGAGAATTGAGCTAATGGGTGGATTTGGATGCGTTCCAACCATGCTGAGGCGGCCGAAGAAGTCTCGATCAAGGCCTTATTCAAAGAGTGTACATCCTCAAGCTCGTTCGCAAGATTCTGAAGAAACTCAGTGCTATGACTCAAAGCTGTACTCAACAACTGCTGAGAATAACAATTCCCTGAAGGCGGTGAGATTGGCATTACTAGACTAACATTCCGTTGAAAGTTTCTTACCTGCCACTGCCATTGCCAAACTTATTTATTTTTCTTGATGCAGGTGACTCGGGCTCTTGCACATGTTGGTCTCGACTCTTCCAAACTTATTGTGGGTATCGATTTCACAAAGTTCAGTGACTGGGCAGGTTAAGCCTTCAATCTCTCGAAGTATGTGTTATGCTTTGTCTGTGTTGCAGCAGTGAAAATGCTGAAATTTGTTCTGTAAATAGGTGAAAAGTCATTTAACAGAAGAAGCTTGCATCACATTGGGGACAGTCCAAATCCCTTTGAACAGGCGATATCCACTATTGGAAAAACCTGCGCTCCTTTTGATAATATAATCCCCTGTTTTGGCTTTGGAGATGGTAATTATCAAACCATTACTTACCTTTTTGTTTCTCTAGGATTTTATCCTATGGAAAATGGGGATGTGAAACACTGTTTTTATAATTTTCAGCGACAACTTATGACAATGGTGTCTTCAGTATATGTCCGGATGGCAGACATTGCGATGGTTTTGAAGAAATATTGACAGCCTACAAGAAAAGTGTTCCTTCTCGGCGACTGGCAGGTTTTTACTGTTGCATCCTAGGTATTTATTGCTCGAGAAGTCCTCATATTCGCTAACTAGTCATTCTACTTTACTCTTGTTTCCGGCAGGTCCAACTTCATTTGCACCTATAATTGAAAAGGCCACGTCAATCGTTGAGAAGAGTGGTGGCCAATTCCATTTCCTGCTGATAATTACGAGCGGCCAGGTATTTTGCCTAAATATCATTTTCTTTAGTTGAATATATACTAGTAAGTTAATCTACAAAACAATTTGGTTTTCTTGTTGGCTGGAAATTTTGTGTTTGAGCTTACATTTCAGCACAAATTCAGGAGTCTGCATCAGTATTTTTAGTTTCAGTGTGAGTAGTAAACATTTGATGTAGTGTGACTAACTTGAAGTGGTGATACTGCATGATAAGCTTGGTGTGCAGAAGCAGAACACATTTGATGCCATCGTTGAAGCAAGGTGAGTAGTAAACTTTGTATTAATAATAGTTGTTTGTTCTCCCAGTCATTCTTGATCTGGTATGCTTCTTATATCCCAGCAAGTTCCCTCTATCAATTATACTAGTTGGTGTTGGTGATGGGCCCTGGGACATCGTGAAGAAACTTGGTGACTCTACTCCTAGTCGGTTATTTGATAATCTCCAAGTAAGCTTTTAAAATTTTATTTATTCTTGATTCTAATGATTATTGGAAAATACTGAATAGGAAAGAACGTTTCTTTGTTTGTAGTTTGTGAATTTTACAGACATTATGACAAAGAATGTGCCACCTTCGAAAAAGGAGGCTGAATTTGTACGAGCAGTTCTGATGAAAGTTCCTTCTCAGTATAAAGCAACAAGAAACTTCTCTATGTTGGGGTACCAGTGTTCTTGATATTTCTCATCTGTAAAAGCTTTTGATTATCCGTTGACATATTTCTTCGAATGAAATTTCTGTTTCTTTTTTTCTTTTTTTTCTTTTTTTAAATTGGCGGTGGTTGGGATGACAATTTTCCCAAATGGTTTCCTCCTCACAATGTTCTTATGTTTCTCATCCGTGAAAAGCTGTTGGTTACCTGTTGACATCTTTTTCATACATATTTTCTTCTTTTTAAATGGACAGTGGTCAGACTAGCAATTTTTCGCAGAGGGTTTCTCTTTGTCCTCCTCATTATAGAGAAAGGAGTTCTGTTACCACGGCTCCAACTGTTGTCAGATCTACCGATGAGAATGAGGTATACAGATTTCTAAGCTGGCACATCTAGATTTTGTTCACACAATTCCACAGAGAGCTGGTACTTGTATTATCAAGGGAATTTAGGACACAGGGTGAAAAACATCATATTGCACATCTGAAGTTCAATTTACATTATGCAGATGTATTTTGATTTGTTTATGAAAGTGGTACTTTTGTGTTGAAAAGTGATACCAATCAATATTTACTACATAGATGTTTGTGATTTTATAGTTGCTACTTTCGTGTTGAATTCAAAGCCCTTTGGAACACGGGCATAACGAGATTAAGCTTAGGTCTATTCTTGCTGCTGGTCTTTTGTAGACAGACACATTTTGATTTACTCGTGAAGATGTTTATTTTGAACAATAAGGTGCTAACCATAAACTTAAAAGCAGTAACTGTTCGAAACCCTTTAGGACATGGGCCATAGCAGAACCCAATTTGTTTTCATAATTCCATTTGGCGTGGGTATGGAGTTTTGACAGTCCACCATCTACTGCACAGAAACCTTGAAGCTTTTGTGTGCCTTCATGGACCTGTATCACATTTGGATAATTACATGTGTTTGCAATTTTCTGCTACGATGGTTCTACGATTTATTGTATCTTGGGTGTTGAGGATTAGGATTAACATTTTGTGTTGTCTTGTGCAGGTTTGCACCATCTGCTTTGCTTATTCAGTGAACATGGTCTTGTATTGCGGGCATCAGGTATTTTGATTTGAGTTTTGCTCAGCAGACATGCTGTGATTGCTGACAAGACCTTGAACTTTCTTCCCCTTTGTGCAGATATGTGGCGAATGCAAACCACAAATTTATCATTGCCCATGGTGTCGAATTCAAGTGGGGACCGAAGATTACAAATTGATATAGGGATTTGAAAAGGTTTGATAGTCTTCCATCTACTTTGTATGCATATGCAATTGCTTGCTTCGTTCTTTTAACACACTGTCTTCTGAGTGTTCATTTACATGCTGTTGAACAGTTTTAATTGCAGCCGTACCAACCGGAGAGCATATACAACTCATCTTTTTGGTGCAGACATTTTTCGAATCTATGCGAGTGAGTTCAGAAATAATATTTCGTACTAGTGGCTATATTGATTGGGTCTTATTGCGGCCCTCTATTTATTTTTTATTAGATAAAATGTGATTGTGCAGATTCAGATTGTATTTGTTTTATGGGGTCATATGGTCTGGTTTGAGTCAAATATTACACAGTTAAGAGCAATTCCAGCGTGTGAAACCTCTCCCCAGGCAATACACTATGCTATCCATCTAGTGAACAGTAAATGCCTTTAATGAACAGTAATTATCTTTTGCATCTCTACCGTTGCACTTCAATAGCCCAGACAATAGGCAATAAAATATTAGTAATTTTTTTATTTATAAAATAATACAAAATAATTGTAATTGTAATTTCAGATAAGATTTTTAATCGTTCTCGTTGCGTCACGTGTCATTATCCGAAAAATTATTAAATAATACAAAATAATTTTATTTGTAATTTCGGATAAGATTTTTAATTGTTCTCGTTGCGCCTCTTGTCATAAAATTCGAAAAAACAATTATTGGGCATGGATTTCCGATAAGATTTTTAATCGTACTCGTTGCACCACGTGTCATTATCCGAAAATACAATTGTTGGTGATGGATTTCTGATAAGATTATTAACCAATCACGTTGCGCTACGTGTCATAATCTGTTTACAATCTTAGAGGATAGATTTCCATCAGAGTTTTTACAATTTTTTTTAAATTTTTATTCAATTAATTAATCTCTGCCATTGGATATAAAAAAAATTTGAATTCCAACACTCAAGATTGTGCCACGTGTCACAACGATAACTTTTCTTAATTTTAAAACTATTTTTCTTTTATTTATTTATTTATAAAGCAGATTAATATCAATCGTCGATCTCAGATCGAACGGTTGATATTAAATCAATTTTTTTTATTAACGTTGCAAATCGGACGGTCCAATTTAAAAAGCTGTTGAGATCAAACGCACCGTGGGAAGCCACGTGGCTTCCCAACAATAACTGACGCAGACTGCATCGCGGGCCCCTAGGGTTTGAAATATGTCGGATGACGCGTCCCCACGTGCTTGACAGAAAAAAAAAATAAAAAAGGGATTGACGACAGGCTGACGTTAGCCCTGCGTCAAGTCCACCTCGGGCTCGCAGGCTGGCGATTCCTCACGGGCCTGTTGGTAGGGCCTGCCCAGTCCCTCGGGCTCCCAACGCTGGAGGCCTTCAGCTGGGCTATTGAGCCCTGTTTGATACACTGTCCCCCGAGCAGTCCACAATGGTGGACTTGCTCTAAACGATTCAAATATTATCTTTTTTTTGTACATACGTACAACTAAACGATTCAAATATTATCTATTTTTGTGTAGACAATCAAATTTCTTGTTATAACCAGATTATCTTATTATTGGATTAGGTAAATGAGCTTAAATTAAAGACATTTAATTTCTTCTTATTATATTTTCTTGGGAAATCTCCAAACAACATTTAACATTTCCGAACAGCTGCATGAACATTTCCGAAAGCATTAATATTCAACTGCTTCAAAATTGGCTTTAAAAACTTAAAGCTTTCCTTAGAGAGTAAGCATTGACAACCATTTGCAAAAGAAAAGAATGCACTAACCAAACTTGTTGAAAACGTAAGGAGTAGGGCCAGATGCTGTAAATTTAGAAAAATAAATCATTGGTGGATGAAAGAGCACTCTGCTGCTACCATTGAAATAATAATCCCGGAAACTTCTGCGTGCTTGCAGAACTTCTACCAACAACTTTATAAATGAAATTTCGACCAAATGAAATTATCGTTGATCAGAAATGAAATTTCAACGAAATTTTCCAGTAGACAAACAACACGACTTTTATTATAATATTCAAAATAAACTGTTATTAGCATTTCAAAAATCTCATTCTACACTCCTCACAAGCGTATTTTTCTTTCTAATTATAGAAAGTTTGGAATACCAAATAAAATTTTTCAAGTGCAAATAACAATTTCCTATTCAAAAGCATGACATATAGACAAACAACACAACTTTTATTATGATATTCAATAACACAACGAAATCTAGCGTTACCCTCCATGAGTAATCTATATACATAAACATGATGCTCCCATGTTTCCTTATTCACAAATTGTAGAGAGATGGATTATAGTGGGGCTATCCAAGTGGTAGCAGCGCAAAATTGTACTGCAGAAGAAGTCGCGATTGATATCGACGAATCTGCAGTTGATATGCAAAGCCGTCTTGAACAAAACAGACGAGAAATTCCAACAACAAAAAATAGGAGCTCGGTGTGCATATATAGAGTTCCTCCCGGCCTCGCCGGAATCAGTCCAAAAGCCATTCAGCCAGAAATAGTCTCCATCGGGCCATACCACCACGGCAAAAAGGAGTTATCGGAATTTCAGAGCTACAAATGGTGGTTTCTTGATCGCCTCCTTTGGCGAACAAAGCGCGGCCTACAAGACTACGTGAAAGCCATGAGCAGGTTGGAGAAAAGCACGAGAAATTGCTATTCCGACCACCACGAGTTGAGCGTCAGCGACTTTGTTGAAATGATGGTTCTTGATGGGTGCTTTATAATCGAGCTTTTTCGATTTGTTTGTGAGAGCAATGACGATGATCACGTCGTTGATGAAAATGATCGCGAGGGCAACCCGATCTTAGCCACGCCATGGTTGATTCCAATTCTCACGAGGGACCTCCTCAAGCTTGAAAATCAACTCCCTTTCTCTGTCCTCGAAACATTATACGACATCTCGAGGGATCAACGTAAAGCCGCGGTTCCACTAGTCATCCAAGCGGTGAAGTTCTTCAGTAATTCATTACTTAGGCCTACTGAGGTCCTTAAAAACTCAAGAATGTTGGAGCCTGAGCACTTGCTTGACTTGTTTCGCTTAACCTTCCTTCCCCTCAAAGGTACTTCAAATGATCAGTACTCTTATCAAAAGTTATACCGTCCATCCTCCGAGTCAATCCAGTGTACCACAGAACTACGATCCTCGGGGATCGAGTTCAAGGCACGCAAAGCAGCGGACAGCTTCCTTGACATCAATTTCCAAAACAGGGTTCTATATATCCCACCTTTAACCATCAATGACTTCACCACTACTTTCATCATCAATTGCTTGGCCTTAGAACAATGCCGCCAATACAGTACAGGTACGTGGTTCAGCACTTACATTACTTTCATGAGCTGTCTCCTCAGTTCAACTAGAGACGTCAAGTTACTGTGTTCTAATGGGATCATCAGCACCGGCTTCTCACAGAATGACCAAAACGTAGCTGAGATGTTTAGAAAGTTGGGGGAAAAAGCTGGATTCAACATAAGAGATTGCTACCTCTCCAAGCAATTCAGAGATGTGGAGGCCTATTACAGCAGCCATTGGGCTACTTTCATGCGCACCTATTTTAGCAAGCAATGGTCCTTCATTACAGTTTTTTACGCCTTCATCCTTCTTGTCGTTACCGGAGGCCAAACTGCTATGGCTATCATGAGCTACATCAACAATTAAAAGAACAACAATACTGATATTTTGATGAAGGGAGCTCTTGGCTCTCCCTCAAACTTTCTGTTTTGTTTTAACGTGAACAATAATTGGCTGGTCAAAATTTTGAAAGAAGTCCTCTCAAAACACTGACTGATTCACTCAATTTCTTGCTCATGAAACTGTTCATATTATAAATCAATAAAGTATGAAATGATTTAGTCATCGAACTATATACAAGCAAATGGCAAGAAATCGCCCACAAAATATTTCGAGGACTTGTTCCTTCAAAAAGTTTAGTAGCAAGTTTTTTTTTTTAATCTTGGAGGGAGGCGTTGTTCTCTCCCTCATATATAATACGGGCCCATTTGGTGGACTAGATAGGATTGGGTTGGCAGGGATTGATTAGGCTTTGTAAGACAGAACTTATAACCCATATATAAAGACATGTTATATAATCCACTCTATTGTAGATTCATAACATATGTCTAGCTCTCATTTTTTACAACAAACAATAGACTAGACTCAAATCTATTTTAATTGATCACAACTTATTCCAACCAGCCCACCAAATAGGTCCTACATGTTTTGCTCTTCCTTTTGTCAAAAAAGTCTATCTACTTACCTTCTTTCACACATTATCAAATTAGATATTTAGAAAGACTTTTACATTGGTGTGAATTTGGCTTCTCTTACACAGTTGAACTACTCATCTAACAGCCACTACTTTGGTATTCTTTTTACAAAAAAAAAAAAAAAAAAAAAAAGGGTCTCGGTTCTAGTTGTTGTGGCCTATATTTAACTAGGGGAAGAAAAATGGATAATAGGCTTGAGGAATTCTGTGTGTTATTTCTTAGACCTTGTACCTTTATGTATAGTGATAAGGAGGAGAGAAACTTGCTTTCCAAGTAATACAAAGTTTAATAGGAAAAAACTTCTAGATCCCAAAGGATTTCTAATCTATTTCTACTTAGGAGAGTCCCACTTTTGAGAGTCTCTTTAGCAGCTCTTTTAATATTTTAACAACAAGATGAAGTATGCTTTCCGAGATTCTTTCCAGCAAATGAGCCATGTTTGTCTATGTGCTAGAAGACAGTCAGATAGTAATTTGACATCTATCGCAGGTTTGATGGTTCATTGGGGTGTACATTTGGGCAATTGAGTTTTCAATTATGCCAATCGTTAATTATATAAATCTCAGGGACCAAATTGAAGAGTTATGTCAATCTAAAGGATCAGCTTTCCTATGAAGACTAAGAAGTAGATTTAGCAAGGATCATTAACTTTGACGAGGTTCAGTCATCACCAGAAGACTCATGCGAAACAAGGTGAAGAGGGCTCCAATGAAGAAGAACCTTCTTAAGAATCTCAAACGCCCTCCTGATGTTGAACTCTTATGCGAATAATGTAAGAAAGATGCCGCATATGGGAAGGTAAGGGATAAATGTTACATAACATACAACGAGAATGTCACTATTTTACTAACTTCATACCTAAAAATTCACTTGTGATAACCCTCCCAGATCCATCCAATCTAATTGAGGATACGACACTGCCCATATCATGTTGTCCAATGATACTAAATTAACCCTTAAAGAGGCACGTTATTCTCCTCATTCCGGAAGAACGTTGTTAAGCTTTAAAGACATTCGGGATAATAATTATCACGTTGAAATCAATGAAGAACATGAAGCTGAATTATTATGCATCAATTCATATGAATACGGCTAGCGTATTCATGAGAAGATTGAGCACATTGGCCAAACCCCCTCCCCCTAATCTTGTGAGCTCGTGAGGCTTTGGTCTTTGATCAAAGGTGTTATTCGTTCGTCAAGATTGAAAACGCCAGAATTTTGCTATCATAAATTAAGGGTATTTTTGTCAAATCAATCCCTCAACTTCAACTCGCGATTTCTTCAATTTAACGGAGATAATTAACATAAAGACCAAAATGATTGGCGGTGACCAATCTCAGATACAACTTCCATTGGTTTTAAATACCAATGACTAAAGTAAAAAAGTTATGCTAATCTGAGAGACCATTTTAACTAAAAAAAATCCATCATTTTATAAGGCCAATGGCCTAGGAAGGAATATTCACACAAAATTAAAGAATAACTTACTAGAAATTAAAAAAAACGCAGATGGAATCAAATTAAAATTGGGGTGCCAGGGGTGCTAGCACCTACTTAATTATATATAATGAAAATATGACTTTAGCTCTAGAAACTTAATTTTCTTATTTAAAATCCAACATAATTTAATTTTCTGATTAAAACCTAGTAATTAGGCTCCACCTAAGTAAATTTCTTAATTAAGTTTGACTTTGCACAATTTGTATTTTCTAAATGTCTAAAATATCCCAAATTACTTATTTGTTATCTACAATTAATTATATGGATATTATATGTTAATATTTTTGTTATCTACAATTAATTATATGGATATTATGTGTTAATGTCATGAAATATTTTTCATACTATGCAAATTGAAATGGAGAATTAATGATTCTAGAAGAAAAATATATAAAATAAAAAAAATGTATAAGGGGTTATTGATGTTATTTGTCAGCGCATATAATTTAAGCTAGTATTAGGAAGACTAATTTGCCTACCCCATGGATATTACTCCTGGTCTTCCACGTCTATCTATCTACTATGAAAAAGGTTTATGTACTATTTACTTTGATAAATATAGGTAAATTAACAAAAAAGTTATTAATAAAAAAATTATTAAGTATTTCATTGATATTTTTCCATGGAATATTGTAATAATTTTGTATGGAAGAGATATCTAAGTGAGAATTCAAAATATAAGTAAATTAATTTATATTTTAATTTACCTACTTAGAGTAGTGTAAAAACAATTTTCACACTTTACATTTCACAAGGAGTAGGTAAATTCTCCTGGGTTTTGAGAAATCATTGCTGGACTTCTCCAAAAGAAAGAAAGAAAAGTACTATTGTTGGATAGACTTGACAATAAGCTACGGTGGGAAATCAATCTGCCATTCATGCTTTATGTATATTTATTCTGTTATAAGATCTAAACACAAATATAATTTTGTATTATTCATGATTAACCCTCTTAAGAAATGCTTTAACGGTGGCAGGTCCCACAAGAGGCCAGCCGGCCGCCAGGGGCACTGGAGTTTCAAACCAACTTTTGGCATTACAACGCGAAGTATCTTGAAGTACTATCGTATAAAATTTCTTAGCTTTGATGGAGTAGCTAAAAGATTATACTAATTAATTAATTAGGCGCGAAGTTGCTTCAGAAGCAGGTAAAAGCTCAAGACAAGCTCAGCCAGGCTACCAAAAAGTGGCATCAGAAATAGGCTTTTTTCTTTGGGAAAAAAAGAGGCCTTTCTCTATTTCTAAGCACTCAGTAAATGTTCAAAAAAAAAAAAATCAAAAGTTAGTTGGTAATGGACTTTATTTTACAAAAGTTAAGGATTAATAATGTGTGGGTATAAAGATTGGAATTGGAGCCCTTTATACGGTAAAGGACTTTACATTACAAAATTTATTATTACCATTTAGATGTGGGGATCTGTACCTTGAAATCCAACGAGGCGGATATGAAATTAACACCTTCCGACTTGAAACCACCCTGTATACCCGTTTTAACTTCTTTTTATTTATTTATTTACTTATGTATTTAACAAACGATGATATCTATGGTAATGAACTTTGGGCAATATGCACCTGTTTTATCTGTTCATCCATTGTTGTTAGTTGCATTTGTTGTCTACCTATGACTGGAAGGAAAACATAATGTTCCTATTAAGTGGAAGTAGATTATACATGCACTTGATTTGAGAGAACTTTTCCTTTTGTGAAATTGAGTTTATATTATTGGTTCGGGTTAAAGTTTTTTGAATCAGGATCAATAGAATTTTCAGCCTTTAGTTTTTAAATTCGTGTGAATTGGGTTGGTGGGTTCTGTAGGAAAGGTAACTTTTGTTCGATACTCACTTGTTTTAATTTTTTCACAGGTAGCTTGTTTTAATTGGGATGAGTATTGGTTTGGTAATGATGTGTTTTTATAAAAAGTCGGTATAAAAAAATAAGTTGAGCTCAAAAAAGTGTTTGGTAAACACTTAAAATAGCTTATTTTGATAGTTTTGAGTGAAAAAAAGCTGAAAACGTGAAGCAGCAAAAATGAGCTTATTCTCACAGCATAGCAGAAGTAGTTTTCTTTCAAAGCACAGCCAAACCAATTGGGTGAATTGTGTTAGTTGTTTCTTAGTTGCTATTGTTGTCTATCTACAAGGGTGGAATGAAATTAAATTACTTGTGTGAAATGAATTTTGTATCTATTTACGTACCAGAATGGGTGGAAAACTATTGTGTTTTGTCTTCGATCTGGGAATTGAGTTTTTATAACTAATTTGTTGTTGTCAACCTACAGGGGTGGAACGAAAACAACAGGAGCTTGAAAAACAGAAAACATAGAGAAGCTGTGCAGGATATTAATTAATAGGGCCCTGAAGAAATCCTGTACGAATAAAAAAACAACTAATTAATCTGCATAAAAGTTAAAAATGATGAAATTCCTCCGTAAAAATATATTAATAAGTAATTTAAACTCAAAAATTATTATCAAGAAATCGGAAAACATAAGATAAACGAAAAGAATGAATTTTTTATTTTTTTATTTTTATATGGATAACTAACAATGGATATATATAGAGTTTGAATGATGACACAAATTTAAAATGTGAAAAATATATGAAGAGCGTGTAAAATAGTAATTACAATGCAAAAAAAAAAAAAAAAAAATCAACCTAATTAGAAAAAATGCTGACATGCAGCCCTAGTCATTAGACCTAGGTCAAAATTAACTAAACATTAGACTAATCGTAATGTTGGGCCATAAAATTGTATCAGAAGGGAACATTTTTGTTTCTATAAACGAATTAAAAAATATCTATAAAGAACAAATGTATTATGCCCCTTTAAGTAATAATTTGAAGGCTTTTTAGCCAAAATGATTCTTGAGATTGTCATAACTCTTCATTTTGGTCCCTAAGATTTAAAATCGATAGAAGGAATCTTTGAGATTGTCAACCGTAAATCATTTTGGTCATTCTGTGATTTTTTTTTTTTTTTGTTAAATTGAAGAAATCACCAGCTCAATTGGACGATCTCAAGAACTACTTTTGTCGATTTTAAACCTCAGGGACCAAAGTGATGAGTTATGTCATTCACAGGGACCGGT